AAAAAAAAAAAAAATAAAGAAATCGTAATAAGTGACCTCCATCACTCAATAAATTTTGGAAATTTCTAAAGCAAATAGACAATAAATGTAGTTTTCTACAAAGTACAAACAGCTTCCCAAAATGAAGAAAATTATGCTCTTTTCTAAAAAAAATTTGTGTCCTTTTTAGGCAGAAAACAAGAACTATGGCTCACTTAACGTGCACCACAATCAGCATAAATCGCCCAAACAGTTTTATTTTGACAAGAAAACTTACGAAGATGGCCTCGACGTAAACGACCCCTCAAGCTCATTATCACTAACCGTAGACGAAAAAGACGAGCTCTGCACAGAGGAAGGTGAGCGTGGTTTTACAGACAAAACTAATTCCGATGAACGATCTAAACTTGTTTCTTGAAATTTTAATTATACACAAAGTCTAGTAGAAATTTATTTTTAAAGGCAAAAAGAAAAACATCTCGAGCCTACGCCTTACTCCAGTAAATTCCTAAGACCTAACAGGTGATTTATAGTGTTGCATCTGTCTGTATAATGACCAAAAATCACAATAATTTGTAAGTAATTTTGCGTTTGCAATTTTCATTGAATACTTCTGCCAAAAAGCAAAAACTCAAAAAATAACCCTACTAACTCCACACAAGTACCTACCGGTAGCATATTCGTTAATGAAATCAGAGCGCCACATTCTCTAAATCTTTAAAAAAAAAAGCTAGTTCTACCAACAGCTGTTTACAATAAAATTTATCAAAAAATAAACGCAAGAAAATTGTAACACATGAGACATGTCTACATGAAATAAGCAGAATCTCGGTTGTTAAAAAATGTTTCGATGGTGTAAAAAAAACTTAGATACTTGGACTATCGAGGTGTTCCATTTGATCTTTATCCAGTAACGAAAACTGTCAAAACGAGTACACCAAAACGCTTAAAAAACTTAAGCAATCACTCCATGATTTACAGCGACAGAAATCCATGTATTCAGATAACAAGAAGTCGGTTTTCAAAAATTATGATCCTTCTTTCCACCAAGCTGGCTGGAATAGACGTCATATGTTACAAAAGTAACAGTGAATATACAGCGCACGCGAATAAACTCGGTAATAACAAAAATGAAGGACCGCTCTCCTTCACATGCTTTGACTTTGCAATTGTTTTTATTCAAATAACGTAAAAAATCTACGAGAAAACAACAACTAACACATAAAGAATTTCAATGAAACAAACAATGGCTGTTTCCAATGTTTTCGCATACAGAAAATGAACGACATAAATCCCACATCAAGTACAAAATATCTAGCCGAAAAATTCTTTTACCCTCACTTCTCCAAAAAATAAAATTAAATAAAAGTAGAAAAATAAAAAAAGAAGAAGAGTGAAAAAAATAAAGAAATTAATAAATAAAAGAAGACAACGTTCCGATTGAAGTCTTAAAAAATATAGGAAGAATAAGAAAAGAAGTATCAAAGAAGCTACATAGCAAGAAAACATCTATACTTTCATTAGTTCTGGAACAAAAAAAAAATCCTTCTCTATTTCTAATACAAATTTAACCAAATCAATTAGCCAAAACAACCGATCAACTAGCCAACAAACAAACAAACAAACTTTCTCAGAAGTAATAATAGCAAAATCAACCTCCGGAAAGTTTTTAGTCATTCACTTGACATGACTAACAATAACTGTCATTCTAAGATCCATTAGTCCATAAAATGAAAAGCTAATGTTAGAAACCAAAAAGATTCTATACTCTTTTACTCTTCCACTAAGATCTCCAAATAGACAGCAAATTGTTAACAAGTGGCACAACATCAAAAATCAAAAAAAATTATTACCAGTAGAAAAAAAGCCGCGTTAGGGAAATAACAAATAGCTTAGCTAGTGTAAATAACAATAGTGAATTTTGAGACAGGAAAAAGCCACCTCTATTTCTAATCCGACAGCCAACTGAGAACAGCAACAGTAACAAAAAGCAACTCAAAACAATTATTAGAGCAATTTTTTTTTTGCCATTCATAGATTCAAGCAAAAAAATGGATAA